CCTCTAGTAATATATTTACTGAGAAAAATGTTGACGTGTTCAATACGTATTTTACCCGCTGTAGTTACAGAGTCGTCAGCAGACCTGTTGATGTCTTGTTTGACCCTCTGACTGCGCTCTGTAGGCTCTATTCATTAAACAGTTCTGTGAAATGGTCCTACAGACCAGTCCGTCTTTATACTCCGTCACAGATGGAGTCGACAAAGTCTACATGGACATGAGCTTCCAGAAAGAACGTGAGCAGGACAAAACCAAACGAGGCATGGAGCAGATCACAGCTGGACTGTTTGAAGCTCAACACACTAGATGTCTGCCTCGTGTTGTTTTAAACACATGAAGCAATAACTGAGTTTAGTGATTCTCTGTGGTTAACAACAACAAAATACAAAGTGGCTGTGTGTCATCGTCGACCTTTCACTTGGAAATAAACAGTTGTTTTCTTGTGGCCAGCTGGTTGTGCCGACCACATGTCATCACTTCCTCACAGCATTGAGCCGCAGCAGTGTTTGTATAAAGTACCTCAAAGTGATACTTGAGTCAAAGTACAACTAGCTTATAATAAAAATACTTTAGTAAAAGTTAAAAGTCTTCTCTAAGAATATTACTTGAATAAAAGTCTTAAAATATCTGATTTATTTTGTACTTAAGTATCAAAAGCAAATTTCTGATATAAAATCAGCTTAAGTATTAAAAGTCAAAGTGAACGGTTAGATTTTGCAAAATGACATTTATTGGGAGGTGACTTCTCCAAAAAAACATTTTTTCTAACAGCGTGCAGCTGTGATGGGTTGTGTACAAAGTAATACGGTGTCAGAATGGTAAATATTTATACTTCTCATCCAACCACAATTAAATTCACTCAATCCAGGAGACACAATTTATCAAGGTAGTATTTTTTAAAAATAATAACAATCCGGAATAAAATAGGAGTAACGACTTTCTACTTCTTACCTTTTTACAAAATGTAATAAGCAGAAAGTACAGACAACTGTAAAAGTGTAACGAGTAAAAGTAGAAAGTAGGCTGAAAAATAATTACTCAAGTAAAGTACAGAAAAACAAAATTTCTACTTTAATACAGTAACAAAGTATTTGTACTTAGTTACTGTACAACTCTGAGCCGCAGCACCTCATCGAAGTCCGACCACAAAATGTTTTATGGTATTTAAATGTCACATCAGTCAGATCTGCCCACTTGCAATAAACTCACTCAACACAGATATAAGTCTGAACAYGGCCTTTTTGTTTCTTAAAATATAAATATATTAAAACTTTAGCAGCAATATCTATTTTAGCATCAAGGTGGAGATTTTAAACACGTCAGTATTCTTTTATTGACTTTATACTGTATACATACTGTATACTGCTGAGGAAGTTCAAAAAAATTAATATTTATTATAGCAATGACTCTTTTACCCCTAAGAAGTAAAGGATATTTAGCGAGTTTCTGTTGATCCGTTAGGTGTTGTCTTGATCTCAAAATGTCAGAATGTGAACAGATGACGAGGAGGACTTTTAAAAACAAATTCTAATCGAACCAAGAACTTTAGTTGATTCATGGATCAAACCTCTCTTGTGTATTTTGTCGTTAAGCTCCTCATTAGAGAACAGCAAGTTGTGCAGAAAGAACAGAAACAGGAAACAGTTGAACATGTGAATTAAATTCACCTGAAAAACTAACTAAACTAACTTTTTATGAGTGGTGTGTGTGTGTACTTGTAAATATTTCCTACCTTTTGATCAGAAACATGTTTGACTTGCTTCTCTTGCCTGTTTCCCAGTTGATCTCGTCACCTACATCACCAGATTTCAGTGGGATATGGCGAAATACCCAATAAAACAGTCCCTTAAGAACATCTCTGAAATCATCTCAAAGGTGGGTCGGATTAGAAAAGCTCGAGGTTCAGTCYATGAGTTTGTTGAGGTCTCTGTGACTGCCATTGGAAGTTAATTTTCTTTACATGTATGTTTTCAGCAATTAACCCAGATTGACAGCGACTTAAAGGCCAGAGCGTCGGCGTATAATAACCTGAAGGGAAACCTGCAGAACTTGGAGAGGAAGAACGCGTGAGTGACGTTCACGTCCAACCCCTCATTGTGTTTAGGTCGAAGAGATGTTTTTATTTATGAGAAACTACATTTTTGGTGTGTTCACCACAGTG